CCATATTCATATTGAGGCCCCATTTTTCATATTCTTTCTTTAGTTTTCTAAACATGTAGTCCATGTCTTCCTCGTCATTCGCTACGACTACCTGATCATCTGCGAAAAATAAAGCTGTTAGACATTCACCACCGCCTATGTCTATTCCCATTCCGGATACTTGTTTTCTCCACTGCTCTAGCGATGATTGAATATATATTTTAAATAGGGTCGGAGACAGACAACATCCTTGTTTAAGCCCCTTGGTTATTGGAAATGATTCAGATATAAAGTTTCCTTCTTTAACGACACTTCTTGCATTTTTGTATATATTTGCGATAGCATCCACATACTCACTACTGAGACCTACTTTCGTCAATGTATAAAATACTTTTTTCAAAGGTACCGTATCATATGCCTTCTCTAAATCTACAAACAATAGGTGGGTAGATAGATTCCTTGCCTTCCGTTTTTCGATTACCTGCTGCAGAACGAATATATTATCAATGCACGATCTTCCTGCCCGAAATCCATTTTGTTCCTCTATGTCTTCATATTCTGATTCAATTCGTTTTTTTATTATTCGACCGTACAACGTCCCAACTGAGCTAGTAACAGTTATTCCTCTATAATTAGAGCAATTGCGTTTATCCCCTTTTTTGTATATTGAGCTGATGTATCCAACATTCCAATCATCAGGGATATTTTGTCCTTTTAAGCATTTATTAAATAGTTTAACCATCATCTCGTGTAATATTTTTGGTCCATACTTTACCAACTCAATTGGGATGGCTTAGGATGTCCAGGTCCTGCTGCTTTACCGTTTTTCGATATTTTGAGGGCATCGCTTAACTCTCCGGTTGTTATCTCAATTATTTGTGTATGTTCAGATATTTCGTCCATTTTGATATCTTGGAATTTACGTCTATCCTCTGTCAATAAGACCTCATAATGCTGTTTCCACTGTTTCAGATCTATTAATTTTAAGTTAGATTTTTCCTTTCCTTCCCTCCGGAGAGACTTTATCACCTTCCACGCTTGCCCAACTCTTGTTCCACCCATATACCTATCCATCTCTGCACATCTTCGATCCCACATCTCATTTTTACTTTTCACTACTTCTCTTTTTACATCTCGATTTAATTTCGTATATACCTTGTGATCTTCCTCCTTTCTCGTTGACATCCATTTCTGATAAGCAGTTTTCTTCTTGTTTACTAACGTTTGCATATTCTCCGACCACCATTCTTGATTTTTTGTTTCATGTTTGTCTTTATACCCCAAAGCTTCACTTGCAGCCTCATGAATGTACTTTTTAAGTTGTTGGTATAATTCTTCCGCTGTTATATTTTCTCGATCCACATTTTGTAATTTTGTGGCCAGTCGTAATTTGTAAAGAAATTTTTGTTGAATCTTCTTTTAAGCTTTCTGGAATTCGTTTATAAGGGTAAATAATCATTGATGCTGTTATTTCTCCAGGTGCTTCAAATGTAAATATAGCCGTCAAATTAACTTTAGAGTTATGCTCTATTTGATCTACATTTTTGTTTTCCTTTACAGCCAACACTCGTTTATTTTTGGGGAACAAAAGGAAGCAGGTTTCATCGCCATTTAAAACAAGTGAAGGGTCTTAAAGAATATCAATATAACCTTTACGATGCAAGTATTCTTAAACACCGGTGAAACATTTTTTTAGATCTTTTTCAGACACAACTGAACTTGCTGCCGTTACACTTTAAAAATGATATGTACCAATCTCTTTCGGGCCGATTGTCAGTAAAAGGATTGGCATGTAAATTTGCGCCAAGAAAACCTTTAAGTGAGTCTTGTATATCTTCCACTCTTACTGGAAAACCTTTGTCTTGGCATGTTATAATCCAATGCACAAAGAATAGGATTGGGACCAAGGGTAGTTTTTTCATTAAATTTTTTACTTGCTCTAAACTGCAATGTTGCTCTTGGCACATTAGATTGTTTAGCACAAATTAAAAAAAACTAAAACAATTGTAATTTTATGAATACAAATCCGGAAAAAAGATATATTCTTATTACACATTACAGTTATTGGCCACCCTGTGGTTTAGTGATTGGCAGTCTTCCAACCACTGGTTATTGCCTTAAAAAATAAGAAAAAATGTTTGAAATATCTTATTTTGGACCAAACAAGGCCAAAACGGTCTAAATTATAATAAATATTTTAATTAGAAGTAGTTACATTAATTGGCCGGTAGGCCAATCATTATAACAAGGACATATTTAAGATACAGTGTTTGGCCACTCAAATTTACCGCGAAAAATGCATAACTTAACTATTAAAACCACTGATAATGTAAGATGTACTAACTTAATCGCCATAAAACAATTATATATCCAGATACATAATACTATTAGCCAAGATAACTCACCTCGTGAATAGCCCTTCTTAACAAAATCTTTAAAAAACTCTTAAAACTGGATGCACCTGTTAAGGTTCAAACAACACACGCCGTGACAACTAGATAATGTCAACTGATGTCAACTGAGAGAGATGATAGCTAGACTAAATATACAGTAATGTTGCCAAATTTAAATGCAATTAATGCAATAAATATAAATAATACCGTCATTGTGTGCAACTAAATTTATTTCGTTATAGTTTCTGAAAATCTTAATATTTCGGATTTGTGTGAAAGTGGCCAATCACTAGTGACCGGCCAACGACTGCACCCGTTAAGGTCGATTCAGACACATCAGTCACGTCTCGTCACAGTCCTGGCGCCGAACTGAACAATCCGTCATACAAAATATTCTTTAATACAAATATGTTGCCCGCATTCACACTCATCAGTTGACAAACAGTTTCCCAGCTGTCAGATAGTTGATAGTTCTGTGACCAAACAGGACCAGTTCGGCGCCGAGACTACGACGGGACTGATGTGTCTGAAACGACCTTTACCCTACATGAGACCTGTAACGACATCCCAGGCGCTGTGACGTCATTACAATGAAAAAAATTAAATTAATCAGAGGTGAAGGTTAGGTCAGCTAAAAGGGTTTTTTATCCCGAATTTAACGCTGAACAACAATAAGGGTATTAATTTAAATAAATACTCTAAATTTTCAATTTAATGTTAATTTTAAACAATAATCAATGACACTCAAAATTTGAAATAAATGTATGTGTTCAAAATGACCTTTTGCTTTATCACAAGCGTCAAACTGTTTAAGCAGTTTACGTGTACATGATGCATTTATCATCTTTGATGTAATCAGAGTAGACGCTTGTCAAATTTTCGTTATTAAATCGTTTATATAACTAGGTTATAAACGATTCCTTTTAAATATCATCACTCCACACAATGTTAGTTAAAAAGTCATGAGTGTCTTGCATCATCATTTGCATTATCGCGATGCAGGTTAGTCTTCGATCCAAATCGGTGGGTCGTAATGACACAGTTTAAATGGATGGTAATGGTGGTTTTTTAAAATCATTTGAAATGTAATTGAAGACATTCCAGTTTTTGCAGCAATAAATCTTATGGACTCATAAAGGTTGGGCATAAAATCGACGCATGTCGATTAATCGAAAGTTTTGTTCGGTCTGTATTGGTTTGATATGATCTCTCTGTTTACCGTTCGGAAATAAACGTTGCTGCATGTTCTCCTCAAACTTAGCAAAAGTTACATAAGATGGTGTTCTTCTTTCGGGAAAGCGTTCCGTGTATCAGGTTTGAGCATTTCGAGCATTTTTTCTAAATTCACCATAATTTAACAACATATCTACGTATTTGTACTACGTAATTATTAGGTGTGAATAGGAAACGCATTTTTACTATTGTATGAACTCTCAATATTTCAAAATTCCGTTTTAAAACTACAATGAACGTATTAGTGAGTGAACACCAAAAATGACTAGGTATTTGTAGTTGTTAAAAAACGATTTAAATAAAACCTCAAGGAAAACTTGCTTTTCTTGTGAACTTGGGAAAATTATAAAAATATGCTAGTTTCAGGTTAAATTGGAGTTGATAAATGCTCTACTTGATTAAAAAAATGAACGTATTGATTAATATTAATATTCTTATTGTTGTACACCCTTGAATTTAGGATAAAAAAGTCTATCGTTTGAGATAACCTTTACCTCCATAATTCACTTAATTTGTTCCAATATAATGACGTCACAGCGCCCAATATCACGGCGCACGGGATACATCAATAATAGTATTGTAGCTCCAATTGACATTTCCCAATTTTAAAATAAAAATATTTTTATTACTTCATGAATTATAGGCTGTTAAAAACATCTTGGAACACCCTATATATATATATATATATATATATATATATATATATATATATATATATATATATATATATATATAATTTTTATCGATTTCTTGAAGAATACATTTTTCGATACTTGGATACACGTAGTACAATCCACAAATATCAAACAACATAAAAGTGCAGTAAGTCAAACGTTACAAACGAATAAAATAATGCTGTACAATGGAAGAGCGCTGCAAGTCAAGGTTAAACTAGGCAACAATGCTATAAGTCAGATTTAGGTGCTCAATACGCCTGTCCGTAGGGACAATTTACAACGGAAAATCACAGTCAGTGTTCAGCATTCATACAAGTTGTTTATTTAAGTATCTATATTATCATAATCACAGTTTGTTTTTTAACGTTTGGTAAGTTTTAACTATTGTTTATTAATATGGAAAGTGAGGACAGCGAAATTGAAGAGGCTTTACAGTCAAAAACTACAAGAAAACGAAAAAGTTTTGGGCGAATACGTGATGTAGCTAAAGCACTAAAAGTGCAAACTTACGAAACAGGCGAGGACTGCCGTTGCAAACGTTATCAGTGTTTTGAAAATATAACGGTTGAACAAAAAAATATATAAAAAATAATTATTCGTAATTTTAATTTTATGCTGAATTGGGACGAGCAAAGTATGTATTTGGGTGGTCTAATATCCATACTTCATGTAACTCAAAGAAGGCCAAGAAAAGATGAAGAGAATTGCAACGTAAGAGATGGCTCTTTTTATTACAGAATTCGCCTTGCGGTAACTAATGATGAGGGGCACACATCACCTGCAAAAGACGTTCAGGTTTGTCAAAAAGCGTTTTTGTTGATCTTAATGTAATGAGAAGATTACAAACTGTACAAAAAGCCCTAAAACATGGTATAACCGCCAAGGACAATAGAGGTAAAATAAATTGTCTGAAGAAACTATGCAGTTAATTTTAAATCACATAAAATCATTCAAAGGACGCATGTGTCACTACAGCCTAAAAAAATCTAGCAGGAAGTACCTTCCAGAGGAACTTAACATTAAAAAGATGTACAAAATGTTCCTTAAGAAACATTCCAATAGAGCAGTGTGCTATGAAGTATATAGAAAAACATTCAACATACGCTTTAATATCTCCTTTGGGTATCCCAGAACCGACATTTGCAGCATTTGTGAGGTTCCAAAATAAAAATAAGGAAATGTAAAGATGAAAAATTAATTAATAAACTTAAAACAGGGCAGAAACTCCACTTGCTAAAAGCACAGACATTTTACAAAAGAAAAACAAAAGCTAAACTACAAGCAAGGATCTCAAGAGAATATGAAGTCATAGCCATGGACTATAATAAAAACCTTCCAATGCCTAATATTACGAGTAACGACGTGTATTGTAAAAGGCAGTTGTCTTTCTACTCCTTTAATGTCCATCAACTTAGTGATAATGATGTTGTTATGTACTCGCACCCTGAGACAGTACCTCGAAAGGGTGCCAATGAAGTTTGCTTAATTCTGTATGACTATGTGACAATCCAGCTTCCTCCTGAAGTTCATAACTTAGTGATTTTCTGTGATTCGTGTGGAGGCCAAAATAAACATTTGACGGTATTCCGGATTCTACATTATTTAGTCCATAAAATAAACAGATTTGACTCTATTTTTGTGACATTTCCTATAAGAGGTCACTCTTGCATGGAGACGGATAAAGATTTTGGTATCGTTAATCAAAAAAGTGCAGCAGAAACCTCACAAATTGGGAAGCAGTGTTAGACAGGCCATTCACGTTCCGACTTGTGGTCCCACTTAGTAGGACTACTAGTTGGATGTTCGTCTCCACTCACGCTCCGACTTTCTATCCAACTAGCGGTCCAACTTCAGGTCTAGGTTGTTTTCACGATGGTGTACATCGCTTAACCAAAAAATGTATCGAATAAACACTACGCAAACTATAATTAGGAGGAGGAAAATGGCAGCATTGTGCTTGTTATCCTTATATATGTTATGATATGTATGTTTAAAAATTAGATTTCGTTTCTCTAGTTATTTGTCTAGGGTTGAACTAATTAATTTTTTCAACTCTTGATTTTTATGACTTTTTATGATGTAGGAAAAAATTATAGTTTTTAAAGATTTGTGTAGGTATAAAATCTATATTTTATTTGTTTTAACCTGGAGCTGGGATTTATTTTGTTGTTTGTGTGTCGTATATTTTAAATAGGAATAATTTTTCATGCAATTGAAAGTTGTTTTCTATTATTTTTTTGCGAACTAGGGATCTTTTACAACTATGATTTAATTTTCATTTGATTTTCATTCAATTGAAAGTTTATCTTCTATTAAATATTCGCGAACTAGAGATCTTTGCGTAAAGTATTTCATAGAAATCTCATACGTAACAGGTGCCGAAGGTCAACTGACTGAGGAAATTTTCGTTCCAACCTGTGATCCGACTTCTAACTTCACCATTAACGCTCCGACTTCGTCGCCAGTCGGAAGTCTTCAAGTCGTCCCACTAGATGTTCCAAGTCGTACCACTAGTTGTCCAACTAATCCAACTAGCCCACTCACGGTCCGATTTCAGATCCAACTGCAGAAGTTGGACCACTAGTCGTACCACAAGTCGGAACGTGAATGGCCTGCATTACGATTGGCTCGTCAAAAACCTGTGTCTTATAAGTAGAAGTGGTTGATAACTACTTGGTGCGTAGCTGGGACACTTTTCTTGCACCTATGTATGTTACAAAAGCACCTTTTAAAACTAGACCAATAAGAGAATTAAGCATTTCAAAGCAACATCCCAGACTAATTTATTTCAGAGACACCTACAATGGAACAATGGTTTCGGCTGTCATTAACAAAAAAGTGACTGGTAGGGAACCACCGTATACTGGAAAAGAATTCGTTTTTACTTGTCGATCCTATACTGAGCCAATGGCAAAATACAAAGATCTCCAAGTTTAAAAAAAAATTTGTTCAGAAAAAGGAAGAATGTATTTTGATCGGCTAAAAAAAACATGACTTATTTTTTATCTTAAGAATTTTACAATGTTATTGACTTATTTAACAGATAATATTAATGTTTTCAGCTTTAGTTAAGTTAAAAAAGTCTAGTTCTGCTTATTTTTTTCTTTCGTTGGATTCATATTATATTATTTTGTCAATTACAGCGTTTTTGCCTTTTTCCTCCAGACCTTTGGTTGTTTTTTTTTTAATTTCTCTCGTTACCTATTGTACATGACAATTTCAATTTTATACCTTTATCGGGATAGAGAAGAAGGATAACATTAAACGGGAATAGTATATTACAAAAAAAATTAAATATTCTTTATTTTATATAAAAAAGATTAAAACAATTATAAAATTCTGCCGTTATCTTATCAATCAGCATACAAGAAATTAAATGAAATTTTTATAATAATCTTATATACTAAAACGCTAAGTGCTTTTCTTGTCCACCACTTTACTCAAATACCATAATAGATAATTAAAATATTTTTTCGGAATATTATTAGTATTACGTATGAGATTGTCAAGATATACTTTTGGTACAAAAATTCACTTCCGGTTTTAAGATGACCGGAATTTAAAATTTACTTTAAGTTTTAAGCCCCACAATGTATATATGAATCGAAAGGTCTCGTCGAGACGAATCTAAATATGTTCTTCCGGTTGCGATCCGACACCGGAAGTGACCCGAAACGCGCATAAAACGTCAAGATAGAGCAAATCTGACACCGGATTCGTGATCAGCATGCAAAATTAACTGCTAAATGATATCCATGTCGACATTTGATGAACTAAAAATTGCATTCCGGTTTTGAGGTCGACTTCCGGTTTCGTTTTTATTAAAAAGTAAAAATTTACATAACTCCCAGTGCCAAGCGAAAGTTTTCAGAAAATGGAGACATTGTAACAAAAAACATTGTTTTCGACAAAATATTTCGTGATATTTAATACACTGTTCACTTGCATTATTATTGATGAATGTTATGTATATTCTTGCTTATATTGTTTGTATTGATCTCTTAATTTTTCTCGCAAAATAAAAATTTCATTTAAAAAACTCGATGTCGAGTTGGTCCGCTAGTAAGATTTTAAATGTACATACATTTATACTAAGTGAAAACCAATTTTACTTAAACTTTTCTTTACTTGATACAAAAAAACAACAAAACTTTAAACTTTTGATTAGTCTAACAAAACTCAGTTCTTTAAATTTGAATGATAATGATCATGATGCCAACACAGATCCTTCACAGATACCAATTTCAATTGTACAAAACACTTACAGCTTTTCTTCTTATTGAATTGTATGTTGGAACATACCCAGAAAAGTCCAGTCTCATCAACGATATGATCTCTCCTCTTTGGCATCTCGGCTCCTTCCTAACGTCTCTGCAAACCTCCTGCAGACTACCCAAAAACACCTGATTCACTTCTCCAAAAACTAAGCTACTTATTTATCACACAAGGACCTCCTTTTGTCAACTTGATGCCGTAAAACTACTTTCACATATACTTCACAAAATGCCCACGGCAGATACACGGACTTCTTCTAATCTACTTGTTGTCTCCTTCTGCAAAACTATTCACTTCTTTTCACAATGCCGCTATCCAAACTCAAGAACCACACCCTATCTTTAAACAAACGACTGTTTCCTTCGATGGCCCAATTACAACTACCTCGCTGCCGGTCTCCTAATCAGGCTAACCCCATTACCATTCAAAAACGACTATCCAATCAAAAAGCTCAAATCTTGTTTACTACTGTTATTGTTTATTCTAAAAATGCTGTATATCATTTGGTAAAACCAAATTACTGTTTCAGAGAAAGAATAAATAAAATTGATTTTTTTTTGTCTTCAGTCTGATAATACACAATCTATACCTGTTTCCAAAGATTAGAATATGGTCATTTAATACACAAACAATGACAAGATTAACTTACAGGTAAAATGTCTTCTAATTCTACACAAAAGAGGTTTTTCGATAATTTTGCTGGACACGGACAAAGTCGTTTATCTTAAATTACTATACACATTTTGTTTATAATGATATTTTAAAATGTTATTCCGATGGATCTTTATATATATATATATATATATATATATATATATATATATATATATATATATATATATATATATATATATATAAAGCGATAAACGCTTTGAATCAACGCTGATCAAATATAATGTAATACTCAAATATTTGGGTGTGCAGCGGAAGATAGGACAAAGAAGTACTCTTTTTAGTTTACCAAGCTTTCGCAAATCTTTATTTGCCACATTAGGGTGCTACAATAAACAGAATTAGTACAAATTACAGAGTAAGAATTACTTTGTATCCTACCCTAATTGAGGTTAGTTGTCTTGATGTTTATCAAAGGAAACTGGCAACTCATTTGACCCCCACAAACGATGGCGAAAACTATCCAAAAATTGATTTCAAAAAACGTTCTTTAACATACATATTTAAAACACATTTAAAACACATATACATAAACATTTAAATAAAATTATGTTAAAATAATTGCAAAAAATGTACGTAGTCACAATATAAAAATTTTTTGGTTATAAATATTCTTATCAGAAACAAAAGAATTGGTTGTAAATTCGGTGCTACCAACTTAACACGACAGAACGTTAGATCTTAAATGATAACGATGTAAAGGTAATAGTATACCTGATAGAGGCTGAACTTCTTGAAAAAGAAAAGACAGAAAGACTTATTTGTCGCAGAAGTAGGGGAGATATTGTGTATCTCATATATAA